GAAGGTATTTTCTATCTAAATTTGCATGAGGGTTCACTTTCCTTGCACAGATTGTTAAACAACTGCTGGCTTGTTTATCTAGGAACTTTTCCCTTCAACTCTATGTCTATATACATAATTGTGTAGAATGCAGATTTAGATCCTATTATGCTAGTTCTTGTTTATGCTTTTATTGAAAGGAGGTACACATTCTCGTCATAATCCATTACTTTCAAGTTTCTCAGTCATGTCCAGGAAGAAAGTACCACTTGATAGATTATGCTGTTTTCTATTTGAACTCCACTTAATTACTGTTAAACATGGTTCAATCTAATATAGAACAGATTCTATGCTAGTAAGGTCACTCTTTTTTTTTTTTTTTTTTTCCTGAAACAAAATTGTATTAAGAGAAAAAGAAAGGAAAATACATCCTAGGGGCAGGGGGTTGAGTGAAATCCCTCCCACAAAAAAGCTAAAAGAAAGAGCTTTCCAACAGTTAAAAGTTGTAGAAGGATTGTAATTTCAAAAATAATTCTTGGGACTAAAACAAAAACTCTACCAAGAAATGGTAAGCTATATACTTCAACAAGAAAGTCTCAAAGAGGATGACTTATCTTCAAAGATCGTCTGATTTCTCTCCAGCCAATATTTGCCTTTTTGGACGCTTCCACCTCAAGAAACTTCAAGGAGCCAACCATCAATAGTTTTTGGCAAGTAGCCACACACACCAAATAGGTTTGTAATGGAATTCCACCCGTTGACAGCAAAGGAGGAGTGGAGAAACCAATGGTCTAAGTTCTCTCTTCATTCCTAAGACAGAGGCAACGGGTTGAGGGAAACTGAGCCCAACTTTGACAGTTTCTTTAAAGCCAATCTTGAGTATTCTAACCTCTATGGGCCAAAGACCTCATATTGAATTTGTTGTTGTGACAGAGCTCTAATGTGTTAAGTTTTATCAACCCATAAATGGTGTATGTTAGACGATAATTCCTCACAGGAAGCAAGTAATGGTACTGTACCAATGTTGTTTAAGGATTTCAATCTTGCACGTGACTTTTGATTTGGATGACAAAATGGATTTCCTTAGGTTTTCATATCATGGTTAAGGAGTAAATGTTTGAGTATCAGACTCAGTGTTGTGTTTGTGGGGTTAAAAAAAAAAAAAAAAAGGAGAGAGAGTCTGCCCCTAGATAGATGATCTCAACTTGTTGAGATTTAAGTATGGAATAGGAGGTTGAAGGATGGAAATAATTGTTGCCTCTAAAATGGTTATGCCGTCTTGTCTAAGCATATTGAGTGGCATTCCTTTCGTTTCATAAACACATTGATTTAATGAGTGTACCTTTCCTACACATACAGGATATGCATAAAACAGTTGTAATTTATCTCAGTCAGGTAATTGAAGATTCCAGAACTATATGAGAACATTTGTCGCGTTGGATAAATGACTCGTAAATGAATGGGAAAAAGAAAAGGGAAGGAAAAAACATAAGGGACAGAGTTTCCATAATCAGAGGAATTTGAAATTTACATAAATCATGCTTTATTACTCTGCTTCTTTTCTTGGCTAGAAGATGACCTAATCCTTGACTTTTTAAGAGCATCAAATAATCATTCCATTTGCTTCTGATTCAGTTTAAAATTGTTGCCAAAGATTTGGTAATTTCTCAATAATTTTTTTCATCTTAACCATCTAAGTGTTAAAATAGCCATCTTAATAATAAAAGACTCAAAGGGAATGAGTTCAATTTATGGTGGCCACATTCTTACGAATTTATTATTTTAATATCCTACTATAATCTTTCCAACCAAATGTTATAGGATCAAATCGTTGTCATGTGAGAATGTATGTGCTTGCCAAACCATCGTGGATATAATTTATTTTTATTTGCATCTTTGACTTTTTCTCTATCATTTTTCATTTGTGCACAATCATTTATTTGAATTCCAAATTTATCATTTGATTTTTATATGAACATAATATCATTTGATCTTTGGAGTGACAGGCCAACTTTAGCAGCTGCTTAAGTTTTGAGCTCTTTAAAATGTCTGATCATCAGAATTTTCCAGAAGAAAAACTTCTGCTTATTTCATGTGCACTACATCAGAAAATAAGACTGACAGTGACAATTCCGATTATGATTTAACTTATCATTCCAAAGATTTTTTTTATAACTTGATTTGCATTAATGATTTCTAGTGGTTAGTAGTATTTGGTTTTAAAACTTGTCAGCTGGTATTATTATTATTTCTTTTTTATATGAGACAGAACTTGTCGGCTGTTACTGGTTTGGCCAAATTCCAATTATCTTTTTGGTGTTTCTTGATTTGTCTTGTAATCCTTTGTAATTAACGCAAGTTTGGTTAGTTCCTTGGAAACTCCCAATGGAGGTTAATAGTTAGGTTATGTCTTTAGGTAACTTTCCATCTAATCGACAAAAAATCAGTCTGATTGAAAACTTGTATTCTGTCATTTATGGTTGCCTACCTTAAAAACACCATAAAAGTGTGTTTTTGGGCACTAACGCACTTGTACCATTTTGCAGGACATTTATTGAGGACTCTCAAGCTGGCATTAAGATATCCCCACAAGATAATAACTATATGGGATCCACTGATAGGCTGGTGACGCTGTCTGGAACCATAGAGGAACAGATGCGAGCTACTGACTTGATTGTCTCAAAGCTATCTGAGGATCCACATTACACCCAGTCAATGAATTATCCATTTTCATACCCGAGTATGTCTTTATTTAGCTTTTCTATTTCATTGTGGTATTATATTATTCCGAACAAAAATTATTAAACGCTCACTTGCATTTTGTGGTTCACAAAATGTCCATCTTTTTTGGGGCACTTTCTTTCATCTGCTATGTGTGATGCTGTTGTCTTATCTTTGTTATGACACGAGTAATTTATGTTTTTATGCAAATCAAACAGGCAGTGTAGTTGTAGGTTTAAATCACAACTGAAGAAAAATATTTATACTTAAGAAAAAGAAGGAAAAGATGAATAACTAGTTTTCCCGCATGTAAATTCTTGCTGTTTTCGTTATTTTCCTTGGCCATTTAATCTTTTACTTCCTTTTGCTACAGCATCATACAATGCTATGAATTCCGGATCCAACGGAGGAACTGGAGGGAGGTTTCAAAACAACAAGGTTTGTGATACCATGGAAATTATCACTATTGCTGACCTTTCTTTCACAATGGATTTGGTACCGGCTTATGATACCATGGCAATTTATATCGTTATTATGAGATTTTCCAGAAAGTAATTGAGAAATAATTAACGATGGTTTTATGTGGATGATAGATTATATTGTCTGAACAACATTCCCATGCCATGCGTATTATTAACTAATATAGTTGATGTTGACGATAAAATGACTTCAATTTCATCAATGTGATCTTCAGTAGGGTAAACAGAGGCGAAGTAATGAAGAAAAAGAAAAGAAGAGTGAAAACAGGATAGCGAGTAAATGAAGCCATTTATCATGGTGCCGAACTCAATTGAGCTTCATGAAAAAATCGTAGATAGCCTTCCTGTATTATGGTCTGAAAGAGAAATTTTATGCATTTTCCGTTCTTTGTTGCTATTTAATCCATCTTTTTGTTGCTGTTTAATCCTTCTTTTTGTGGCTGTTTAATCCGTCTCTTTGTTGCTGTTCAATCCGTCCCTGTAGACTTAAAAGAATCTAGATACTGGTTTTCTCTTTTAACAGCTATGTTTCTCTCTATCCCTCCAACTAACTGCTGAAAAAGTGTTTTCAATGCATGCAACTGCATGAAATGAGGACTTTATGCAATTGCACATATATATTTCTTATACTTCTCTGTGACTTTATGATATTGCTGACAGAAGATCTTTTGAAATTGTCTAGGAGGAACGGAATAACTCCTTGACTATTGGCGTTTCAGATGGCCACATCGGATTAGTTGTTGGTCGTGGCGGAAGAAACATACTGGAAATTAGTCAGGTTTGTGTAAACCCCTCCACCTCCAACGCTTCCTATTTCCTTTCCGTGCAAGGTTGATAATATTCAAGTCACAAATGTTACTTCATGTATTACTTTTTTACATTCAAAAGCGTTTCTTATTACAGGCTAGTGGTGCCAGAATTAAGATATCTGATAGGGGAGATTTCATGTCCGGAACCACTGACAGGTACAGAGGTTCTTTTGATATATTTACTCCCTTTATACTGTTGGTCTGTAAGTTCTTCATGGTAACAGTTGTATACTTGATCTGGAAAAGAAATAGGAAAGTTTTAGGGAAATATGCAACTGTTACCATGAAGTCAAAGGACTCCAGTGAAGCAAACATAAAACGTAATGGATAATTATAGAAGTCTTTACATGCAGAGATCCAAAGAGAGGCATGATATGTAAAGATTTTTGTAATTATCCATTAGGTTTTATCTTGTTTGATTGGAGCCTTTCTTTGACCAGCCGACTCTTTTAGGGTGTTTCTTTTTATTAAATTACAAATTTAGTCCGTGCACTTTGAGGTCTTTTGTGTGTTGGATTCTAAACTTAAAAAATTCTCATAGATCGAACTTTCAATTTTGTAGTTTCGTGACAAATACAAGTCATAAAACTTAATTTCATTTTATGTCTAATGGAACCCTTTTCAATTATATGCCTAGTACGTATGTGAATTTTAAATAGTTTGTAAAATTGGAAGATTAGAGACTAACTTGGTACAAATCTCAAAGTTCAAGAACTAAAATTTTAATCTAACACTCATTTTTAATGCATACTTGATTGGTCCACAATTTGCAGGAAAGTAACGATTACAGGGTCACAAAGAGCAATCCGTGCTGCTGAATCGATGATTCTGCAGAAAGTAGCATATGCTTCTGAGAGGGTAATGCCTTTCAAATCCATTAACGATGCTTTGTACAGTTCTGTTACGATCTATAGCATTTTTTTCTTTATCGAATCGATGCAGGTTCTAGCACAGTGATAGAATGGCGAAAGCTCTGAATGTTTGTAGAAACAAGGCCGGGAGATTTTCAGTTTTACCATTGAGGGAGAGCATGGCAATGGCAATGGAAATGAGCGGAAAAATAGTTAAGATATCCTGGTGCGTTGAGAGAGATAACGCCATAATTTGATTGATGAGCCAAATAGAAAGATTAGCAGTGTCAAGTTGTTTATACAATTGTAGCCTTGAATTTATTTTATATTTATGTTTTGAGCTTTATCTCTATTAAATTGTTTGAACCTGCCTTCTCTTCACAACATATTGTAGCTTTTTAGGATGTTCTATTTTTATTAATTGGTGAATTCTTTAGTCTTTATGTTGGGGTTTGCTGAGAGATTTTGTTCTTGTATGTTCTGTTAGCAATAACTATCATATATATGCATATACCTCCCATGTGGGCTTCTGGGCCATCTTTTGGGCCTCATGAATTTGAGCCCAACTCTATTAGTCGTTTTGCAAGATGTCGACATGTCGGAAATCCTGTTTTCATTATCCTTCTTCCCTGACCTTAAAATTTGTTGAGTGTTTCCTATTGTTTATAATATTTTACGTTCCTTTTTATTAGTAGCTTTTATTGATTAAGAGATGACAAGAAAGAGAGTAAAATTGTTAATAACTGGAAGATTTATTATTTGAAGCCTCGCAATACAACAAACACACCACATTTTATTATCATCTTTCTAGGTCGACGCTGCTATTACACACTTTATTTCTTCAAATGCTTTCCTCATATAATATATTATTCTTAATCCCCGCCTCCTCCATATCCCGACCCATATCCCGAACCATATCCGGACCCTCCTCCCATTCCTTCTCCGCCCCCGCCGCCTCCTCCGCCGCCACCTCCTCCTCCTCCACCTCTGCCACCTCCTCCACCACCTCCTCCGCCACGTCCTACTCCGCCACCAGACCCATACCCTGACCCACTTCCCGATCCAAACCCGTGACCATACCCGGCTCCATTTGCACCGCCGCCTCCTCCCCCACCACCACCTCCTCCCCCTCCACCTCCACCACTCCCATATGGCCCATATGGCCCATACCCTTCATCTCCATATCTAGGATAGCCACCATCGCCATATCCCGAACCATACCCAGAGCCATACCCCGAACCATATCCCGAACCTGACCAAGGTCTTGAACCTTCTCCGCCACCTCCACCCCCACCACTACCACCCCCACCACCACCTCCGTACCCCCTTAGGAATCTAGCAGCAAGAGTTAAGTCCGCCATTAACAAAACCAAGAGCACCAAACCGATAGTCCCGGTGGTAGCCATTGATGATTAAACTCAGTAACGTAGAGAAAAGTTAAAAGCAGTTTATGTGAGAATAGGAGGGAAGGGAAGTGTTGGGATGCTTTACGTAAGCCAAAGGTTTGATTTTTTATGCGTGGAATTGATGGGATTTATTGTCCCTTATTTATAGGCCTCGCAAAGCTTACGTTTTGAAACTCATTTTGGCAATTCTAGTACCTTCTTCCTCACTTTAGTGGAGTTGGTGAGTGTAGTGGCCATCAAATAAGCACACACTACCGCCCTTCCTTTCCTACCTCTCTACTTCTCTCTCAAATTATTCCATTCTCACTCCCAATAATTATTCGATCAAACCGCTACTATGACAATTTTTTATCGAGAAATAAGAGATATACAGATTTTGAATTATATTAAACGATTATGATGAAATAGTCGTGTTGTATCCTAGCAGTTTCGTTGAACAATCTATTTCTCTCGTTCTTAGTTTCATGCATTTTCATTAGATAAAAAAATGCATTTTTTTCTTCCACTTTTTGACTTCTATTACAAAACCGGCTGTGGTTTGCGTTCATAATGTTGAGAAGATAATATTAAAGAATTTATATCTTTTCTTCACGTGCGTACCATCATTATTGTTTAAGTGCTTTCACGATCATGTTTGGTGAAGCTTTTTAATTTCAAGTTATTTGGGAGATCATATGAATTCCAATTTATGAACCAATCTATGGGTTAGATAGCAAAATTTAGGATTGTTTTTTTATTAAATTATTTAGTTAATTAACCCAAATTGGGATTAACGACCTTACAATAAGATGTAAGATAGTAAACAAATATATAATGTGTTAACACTGTTATACTATTCTTTATCTTATATTCCTATATAATGGTTAATTAGAAATTATTAGAAAAACCCAAAAAAATATTAGAGAAATTAACTAACCACAATTTAATATAATTAAAAGGATGAGAGAAGAATAAAATTACTAGTAAATCTATTATTTGATCTCTAAATTTTAAAAAATTACTAGTAAATCTCTAATCAATTTTATTTTAATTTTAAATTAATTTTATATCTAATATAGACACATTTACAAGCCACGGGTCGTCTTTCTATAAGTTATGGCCTTGAACCGCGTGAGTCAAAGTGGTGCTTGTGCTTGTTTTATTAATCATTACATAAATTCTTCAGACGGAGAATTTCAAAATAATTTTTTATTTATGACCAATAGGCAATTGACACAACATTGAACCTTCTAGAGATACTTATTTATTTATTTTATTTTTTCAATATATAAAATGTTCACTTTTTAATACGACTTATTTTTATTATTATATTTGATAAATAAGTAAATTATACGAACAATAATTAAAATTTGAATCCAATTCCACAAAATTAAAACTCCAAAAATTAATGGATTTGCGTTAGTGGAAAATTATATCTAATTTCATCCCTTTTTCTCAATTCTAAAGCTTAGAATGACAAATGGCAGTTCCTTTTGTGGATTATATAATATGGTTCCTTAGAAATCATACTAACATTACCATATGCTCCCACCTTAGTAAATAAATAAATAATAATCCCAATCTCTTGAAATTTTACCTTTTTTTTGAGTGAAAGTCAGATGAATTCACAACCATACATTTGGAATATATAGGTGAATTTTTGTTATTAATTATTATTATTATATGGTTCAAAGTGATCTCCCATCATATATTATAGATATCATATGAATAATTTATTTTGAAGGGTCTTTAGAGTTTGGACAAAACCTGTTGTTTGAGTTGTGAGACAAGATCCTTCCTCAAGATTTTGCCTGCAAGTGACCTTGGTATGCTACTCATGAATCTCACCCCTCTTATCTTCTTGTAGGCTGCCACCTGAAAATTTTCACTCCTTTAATTACAGTAATTTTTTTTTAATAAGGGCAGTACTAATCTTCATAATTTGAAGCAATTTTTTCAATTAAGATTAGATTAATGATCATAATCATGATCAAAACAACACTAATTATTTATTTAATTCATATTTATGGTGTGATAGCTGTCCGTGTCATTTCTTAATTAAAGCAGGAGAAAATGGATACATTTGGAGGGTTGCGTGGGCTAGGCCTGATCCATTTGAGACTGGGCCCATTTGATATTGGGCCCAATTAGGGCAAAATTAGGAGATGGGTGCAAAGAGGAAGTACCTGGGAAGCGACAAATTGGATGACCTGTTCTTCTGTGAGCTTACAACTGGGTGCTTTCACCACACAAGCCACCGGAATCTGGCCGGCTGCTTCATCCTCAGCTCTGCAAACACGGTACAGTCTCTATGTTCAATGTTTGATTCATACGTTCATTATTTAGGGAATGATCATAAGTGAAGAATGGTATTTCAATTGGTTTCATCTAACACATTAAAGAGAAAATTAGGAGAAAGAGATTAAACTCACGGTATAACGGCAGCATCTAGAATTTCTGTATGGCTCAAAAGAATTGTTTCCAGTTCAGCTGGAGCAACCTTCGTTGAAAATTTTGAAGTTCTTGAGCTTAATCAGAGTATGATACGATATAATTGAGGTGAGGCGTTTGTTTGTACCTGATATCCATTGTGTTTGATCAGTTCCTTGATTCGATCAACGATGTAAAGGAAGCCATCTTCGTCTATGTATCCGAGATCTCCTGTTTTCATCCATCCTTCTTTATCCATGGTGGCTTCTGTTGCTTCCTTGTTTCTGAGATATTCTTTCATAATTGTTGGACTCTTCAGCCACACTTCGCCTTCCTTCATCGGCGGTAGTCCCTCTCCTGTTTCAATGTCTACGATCTTTGCACAAAATCTCGGCATCAACATTCCACATGAACCTTGTTAGGAATGTGAATCAATGATTAAATTTACAACAATTTTGGATTCAACAGTAAATTTGTAGTCACTTGTTCGATCTAATACCTAATTTCAGATCCACAAATGAAAGAGTTAAGAATTAATTTGAATTGGTGATTGCTAATGTTGTAGTACCTGGATGAGCTCTTGCGTCTTTGTCTGTGATCATGCAAGTCGCTGCGCCAGTACTCTCTGTTAAGCCATATCCTGGCCGAAGCTCCACCCATGGAAATTTCTCTCGGAAAGCTTCTTCTACGTCTTTTCCCAGCGGTGCAGCTCCAGATCCAATACGTCTCAGCGATGATAAGTCTGAACCACCGCTCGATTTCACTAGCCCTAAGATCACCGGAGGTACTGCCGGTATGTTATTTACTTTGTACGTTTCAATAGCGTCGATCATGGACTGGAAATTGAATCTCTGCATCAAAACAATGGTAGTTCCTCTGCAGAAGAGTCCGAGTCCGAAGAAGACGAGGCCGTAGATGTGAAACATCGGAACGAAGCACAAAAACACGTCGTCTTGAGAGGAACTCGCGTCCACGTACCAGGTTAGAAGTTCGATAACTGAGATAAGATTTGAATGCGTTAGAACAACACCTTTACTTGTCCCGGTAGTTCCCGACGAGTACAAAATAGCCGCTGTATCCGACTGAGCGATTTTCGTTTTCGGCATTTGCTCAAACGATTCGATACAGGATTCGATCAACTCTTCAACCGATAAAACATCGCCATAAGAAGGCCGAGTAGTTAGAATCGTCGGTACTCCAGTCGGACTCAATTTGTGAAGCTCCTCGGGAGCCGAGATAGCGAGTTTCGCACATGAATCGCTCACTTGCTTTCCGATTTCCGACGCAGTATTTACAGGATTAGCCGTCGTTATCACAGCACCAATAGACAACACAGCCAAACAGATCACCGGATACAAAACAGAATTCGCGGATAAAACGAACACCACATCGCCTTTTCGAACTCCAAGTGCGTGATAAAGTCCGTAAGCGAGAGAGCGTGTCGACGCACTGAGTTTTCCATAAGTAACTCGCGAGCTCGTGACCGAGTCGATAAGAGCAACTCGCGATTCGGCCGTCGGAAACTGCGATAAAACGAAAGTAGCCGTGTCGAGGTCTGGACTGGTGGAGATCTTAGGAGCTTCATCAAACTGGACGAGTGAATGATAAACCGCAGTATTCACATCGTAACCACCCGGTGAGTTTATCGGCCGAAATTCTACGGCGGCCGGAGCAGTGCAGGATTCTTCGCGGGACATATTTTTGCGTCGACGAGCGAAGGTTCAAAAATCGGTTATCAGTGAGTGCAAAAGGTATCAGAAACAGGATGACAAACTTGTGATGCCTTTAGGCGACATAATCGACGTTTCCTTTCTTTTTTTCTTTTTTTTTTTCGTCTTTTACTTAAAAAAGCAAGACAACGAAATGTGGGGTTTTAATTATTTTTTGAACAAATCTATATATACTCGGCCGGCCAAAATTATGGTTAAATTATACCAAAATTAGAAAAAAGTTTCATTTTTAAGCTTAGATTTTAATTAGGGCTGAAAATATTTATTTCTTAAAATTTTAAAGTTTGAATTTCCTTCTCATAATTATTTACAATTATATATATATATATATATACCCCAATTTATTACCTCTTCTCTTCTCTAGAAATAAGATTTTGTGTCATAAATTTTTTATATTCAACAACCGCGGTAAAAAAATAATAAAATCGCAGAAATCTAAACATTTATCTATCTATTCATGAGATAGATCAGTCGCGACTCCCTTGATATGAAAACAATTATGCATCATTCTTATATCGGTGGCTGCTTCGAATAAATCATATCCTAATTCTCTTTCTTTGAAAATATAGAAGAAGGGAGTCGCCAATATCCACCACAAAAGGGCTAAGCCATAACAGATGAGAAGTTATACGACTCAATTCCAACATAATTACTCTCGTGTGTGTATATATATATATATATTTATTTATTGTATAGGTAAATAATGAATTTATTTGCCCTCCATATTTATTGGTTAAACTTCTTTGAATTATAATTTATAAATGGCGTTTAATATCATTCTTATTCCAACTCATTATTGAGCTACCTCTAGTGTAATGACTATTTTGAGTTTTTGATTGAATCTTATTTTAGTTATGATTT